CTTGACTTTACATCCATGTTAAGAAAGAGCTGCATTGGAGTAATGAAATCGTCACAATTATCTTTAAATATAATTCTGTTTGTTTCATGATGTTCAATATTTTAGATTAGTACCCTTGAGATCATGAAGTAGCACAGTGTTTCCCCAAATGCTCACCGTTACGTTTATAGAATGATAGATCATGATGTAATTTAAATGTGCCTGCTTTGATCTTGAGTGTATTGAAAACACCTTCAGGGAGATCATTCTGCTATTTGAAGAGACAGCACCACCTAAATCAAGACCGGTGTGCCCAACATAGAATCCAATTATCATGACAGGCAGCAGGTGCAATATCATGCCAATAGCACCCAGGGCTTGTGGCAGTATTCTGGTGAGGACATGTTACTGACAGGGTAAAGACTCAGTCCCCATGATCAGGTTGTGTGTGTCATTACTGTAAGCATGAGAAACATTCATTCAAGCCTAATCACAACAACACGTAAGTTACAAATGTGGGCTTAGCATGTTTAGTCTGATGGATAACCATGAGTAGCCATGAATAGAAGGATGGCGATTCTATCGACATAGCGGAAGAGATAGCCTAGAAAAACTTGACAGTGACTAATGAGCATAAGAAAAGGTTCTTTAGCATGGAGGTATCTGGCATGGTAGTTGTCAAGTCTTAGGGTAGGGTCTAGTGGGTGGATAAAAATATTGCGTTAAACAACCAACAAACAAGCAAACAAATTGAGGAGTTTAAGGTTGGACCTTCACCTTGTGATAATCTGTCTAGTCCAGAGTCCAGATTTCACCAAGTGTGTGTTTGTCTGGTCCTAGGGTAGGGTGATTTCAGCTGGTAAGTGGTTGTCTAGCCTTGAAGGTGTTTCAATTGTTTTACCACCTACAGTTGCACAGAGGGCAGTTTTACAATAGTCTCCTCCTAATCTAGCGTGTAGGTGAGAAGTAACTTGGTAAAGTATTGTGTCAGGTACAGAGCAGTACACAATCTCAGTCTATTATCCAGCTTTCATCTCTAGCTGCCTGCATGGCTGACATTGTCAGTGTAATAGAGGCATGTGATGAATGCAGGGAGGAGCCGAACATGGCAGCATGGAAAGGGCACACGCACCCAGGCACAGACTGGGTTTCATAGATGGAGGGGACTGGGGGCTTAGTGTGAAGGTGTTGATGCAATCGATGAATGTATACATGTTGTGCAACAGGGTGAATGTATGTGCTTGGCGCTGAACAAGCAGTGGATCTGTCGAAGTTACAGCCTGTTGTTTCCTGCACCTCATCTGAAGGACAAAGGCTAAAAAGATTCTGATTTTCTGATTTCAGTGTTGAAGAAATAATTGAGATCTTTCAGCTTCAGGGAAATCCTTGCTCTATTCTAACCAGAAATATAATAGAGCATGGCTGACCAGTGGTCTAAGGTGCCTTAGTTTGTCATGCAAATTCATCCAAGGTTCATGCAGATCATGTTCCGTGGTCTGCCAATCCAATTCCGGCCCTAACCATGGGTTTCATCAAAGTGGTTAATGTGGAAAGCATGCACTGAAAAACCTTTCATTTCACGTTAACACTGATGTGCCATGATGTGCCATGATGTACCTGAACATAATTGTTCAAAGCAATGTTAAACCCCATCACTCACTCGTGGTGTGTGCAACAAGGTTCATACAGGCTTGAAAAGGCCTTGATTTTTAGGGTCCCTCTTTAAAAGCCTTGATTTTTAGTGTCAACCTTGGAAAGCCATGAAAATCACCTAAATAACCTCTCAAGCTTTGAATTAGTACAAAAGGATGTCAACTTGTTAATAAAAGTATAAAAACATACAAAACAAATAGTTCAGTACCAAGGATGATTAAGTGCGATTTATCTCAGTGATAGATTTGACACTTTGCCAAACACCTTGAAGAATTCATGACAGACATAAGTTATTTTATTTGTAGGTTGTGAAAATCAATCTTGTTTCAAACTTTGTGATGCTCATACTGTTTTTAAGTCTTCTGACTAATATATTGTATAGTCTTACAACTAATATACAGTATGCAGAATTTTAAAAAATATTGACAAACTGAGACTAATAACCCAACTAAAAAGCCTTGAAAGTGACACTTGAAAGCCTTGAAAAGGCCTTGAATGTTAGTGTTCCATATCTGTATGAACCATGTGCAATAAGATTTAGCATTTGTTCCATAATGGGCAGTAATCTAGTACTACATTAGCAACATGCCAGTGGTTGCAAAACTTTGTAAATATAACTTTTGAAAAACGATACAGAAGTAAAATATGAATCAATACATGGAAAGGCATATGATGTATTCTAGTGTTTGTTTTGCTTCAATACATCGGTGAATAGTATAGTTTATAGTAACTGAAGCATCCAAAGAGCTGGGAATTACTTCCCCCTCAGTGGTGTATCAGTGCTTCAGCAGGAAGCAGCCTCCAGCGGCAAATCTGTCTAGCCAGTCTCTGTAAAACACTAATGATGTGAGAATTAATTGCCAGACATTTCTTGTCAATAAAACACAAGCAGTGTCATCGGCACCATCGCACCATTGTAAAGAAGGAGAGGGATCACTTTGCATGCACTGTACATCCCCTTCGGAGTAAGTAGCGAACTTCTGCATGTTAAATGGCACTTGAGCAAGTTTATCTGGACCGTTTAGTCTCAGTGGAAGTAATCTGTGTACAAGTGCTGCAAGGGGCTTTCACTAAGGAAATGCTGACAATTAAAATACACTCTTGTCTGTATCAGTCTGGCCGTGGCATCTTTAAACAGCCTACTTATGAACTGGCAGCCATGGCTGCTGTAATATGTGCATATTGATGTACGTAGTTCAGTTTGGTACAAATTGCATCAAGGATTCAGCCATAGAGTCATTGATTCAGTCGGTTACATGAATTTGGGGCATTTTTAAAATATATGGAAAAATAGATCAGAAACTTAGACTCTTTGAAACTGACTACATCAACTGTGTATGATCAGTGATCAGCACAAAGTGGATACACTATAGTTCATCCTCCTCCACATATTGCTCCCACTCAATCCTTAGGTCACCTTCAAGTAAGTTTACAAAGAAGGTTGAAATGTTACCACGGCAATATGATGTTCGATGATGTTTGAAAAGAGAGGTGTACTCTTCAATAATACACTGCAGTATGTCATCACACTACTCAAGATGCTATGAAACACCAAGACATTCAAAGTTCATGTATTCTCATTAGAGTGTTAATAATCTGGCACTATTGGACCTTTGAAACTGAGCCAGTTGACAAACAATAGGTTTTGCTAGGTATTAGATATCTTTGTGTTCTCTGGACAACTCGTGGAATAGTGGGAGGATGTATCATATTTCCCAGAGCAAGGATGAATGTCAGAGTTGCCTGTGTATATATGACATGATATATATTTAGCATTGGCAGTTATAGGTATAACAGTACTTCTCAGGATCTTTGTTGATGCAAAGTATCAAGTTTAATGAATGTCTATATACGTCAGTGGCAAAGTTTGATCCTCAGTGGAAATGATTTGACAAATGTGTCATGCTACAGCCATTGAATTAATTACCGAAACTATTTTGAGTGGCATTAATTATATATCAAGCAGTAATAGTATGAGCCACACAATCAGTTAATGTTTTTTATGTATATGTTTTTACTTACATTCCTTGTGAAATAATTTTAAGTCTTGTTGAAGTATATCTTTCGGGAGAGATTTTCTCCTTTCTTCAACATGTTCAAACTTCCATTAGTCCAAGACTATGAAATTCTAGTGGGACATGTACTTGTTTTCTTTAAAAATCTAGTTATTGTACATAAACCGCTACTCCAGAATGTAATGAATTGGATATGACCAACGTGACCAATATGACTACGGTTTAGGGTAGGAACTGACAGTTTGAGTCCACTAGTCCTAATGATAACATATAGCAAACCCCTTAAAAGGGGCAAACTTCTACTAGTCCTCATGATACCTTAACTATTGGGCAGTTTGGCATGGACTATGGGACTAGTGCCAATTCCTAACACTGTCTGAGAAATAGAATATAATTTCTGTTCCTCACCATGCTCACTGTCAAGGTTTTCTTACCATTTCACAGACAAGTGATCAAAACAGACAATAGAAGCACTTATTGGAGCTATCTGGCCCATTTAATGGAATCCTATGGACATGTCAGAAGTTTTCAATTTTAACATTGTTCTAATATGTTATCATTGTTTAGGTGAGTGCTGAGAAAAAGGATTTTAGTTCCCTGAACTGTGATCAATCAGAAGGTTTTGGGTGTGTGAGGCTGCCGGTGTAAGATGGGGAACCATCTATATCAGTAAGCGTTGAGTTCCTTGATCACACTGACTTGCAACATCTGGTGCAGGTAACACTTCTTTGTCAGCAACCACTACACCAACCACTACAAAGCTTGCTAACAGTGTCACACCCTCTCTCTCCACTGTTACTCAACCAGGTAACTAGGTGGCTGACCTCACTGTGACCTCGAGGTTTCGTGGTGCAAGTGATCAATTTCACCCCAGGTGTTGGTTAAGTTGTATGTCATCTAATTTATTTTTTTGTGTGTAAGAAATTCAAATCATCAGCATGATTAGTTTTTTTACATGCGAGAATTTAATATAATTAAACATTACTTTTTTCCAGGAAACCTCTATGTTGGTGTATCAGCATACTTGTCCTGAACTTGTCGAAAGGCTGCATTTTGAAACCTATTCTAAAATCAATATCCATGGCAGCCTAATCAAAAATGTAAATTTGTCATTACTATATGATGATATGCTCTTAATGTATAATACATCTAACAAACTGTTCCAAACAGATCTTTTGATTTGTGACAGAGAGAAAAGTATTGCACACTGATATGACAATATGTGCAGTATCCAGACAGAAGAGACCAGGGAAGGATAAAGATTGTGTTCTCCACCAACTATGCCTGTCTGTGCAAACATTGATGAACATGTTATATACTCGTTTATTTTATTATTTTTGTCTTGTGTTTCAGTTCGGCATGACAGGCCCCTCCTAAGCTCGCAGAGTGCGGGTCAACTTGGCCGACCCACAGCAGTTCCCTCCCTTTTACGCATCTCAGCTAGAAGGACAAACTCTACAGGTAGGCCGTCTAATATTTTCTAAACATGTCAGTTTATATGGTTCTTACTGCCTCGGGGTTGATACTGCACAGTTAAATTGTAATATTGACATGTTACGTATTCAGTGATCAAATGTGCACTTGAAATTCATTTATAATTGTAAATATTTGAGTTGAATTACTTCAGCTTCAAAAGATTAGTAAAGTACAACATTTCTGTTGTCAGACATTATGTAGACAAAATGTCTCCTACTTTAGTTCATAATGCTGAAATATTCAGAGAGTGCAGTGGTTTCCATGTGGTACTAATGTGTGTTCTGAATCTGTGATGAATGGTGTTTGGTAGGACAGATTACTAAGCAGGTATTGATTCAATGTTGCCGGCTTTCAAGTGTGAATAATTAAACTGGTTGGCGGCCCAAGCCTCGTCTCAATAAGTCACGATAAACCTCTAAATCAGAACTATGACATGTATGATAAACTACTCACTGTATTCGAAATTAAGGGGAGTCTGTAAGTCTTGAACATGTTTAAAGTCTTCTGTGGTATTGGAGTCTAGGGCCCCCCATGTCTTTAACTGTACACTAGGGTTACAAGGACACCTTTAACTTCATGAAAATAGCATCAGATGATTCTGTAACAAATGTCTGTCAAAGTACTACTGAAAACAAGAAGAAACAAGTGTACACAGAGTAACCCAGGAAGGAAACTTCATGAATCCAGTCAAAGTTTGCAGTATGACAGGAGCAGATAATTTCACGAACATTTCTGACAGAAAAAGGGATCATATGACTGGTCAGAGACATTGGGCAGCAAACTGATCAAACAGTGTAAAATCATCTAAAACCTCTCCAATACACTCAAGCTAAAAATAGACTGTTGATCACGACAGGCAGTTTGTCCTCTTGGTTATAAACAGTTGTCTTATTAATACGCCTGATCATCGATGTTCGATAGGTTTTGTGTGTGAAACGAGTACAATCAAACACTAAAATAGACTGCAATACATTGTAATTAGAGGCAGTTCAATATCCTCTCCGCTTAAAGTCACGAAGGATCTAGCTGTTGTCGTGAGCAGTTGTGCAGGTCAAGGTGTGAAATGTAGCCGAATGATGTATACTTAAAACAAACACACAACGCCTGCTGTTTGGATTTTGTGATTGAAGGTGGGACAATCGTGTGCAAGTTGATTGGGGGATATTGTTGATTACAAATTGACCTAGATCTCTTTAGTCACCGATTGTTGGTGCAGAAGACAGTGGCAATAGCTGCAGCTGAGATCTTTGGGGAATGCTTATAGATTGAAGTTGCAGGGTTGTATGATTGTGCAGACCAATATTGACAGACAGGACCCTGTTTGTCTTGTGCTCATTCATGTGTTTGCCTGTCTCGCGACAAACAAACAAACTTCAAATAACATTGTCTTGAATGCATGTCAGTGTTTAAGCCAGGCTGTATGTGATTATGAACAGAAATAACAAGGCAGTTTATCATAGATGTTGCAATTTGGACCGTTTGTTGTTATAAGCATATGTAGACATGTTATGTATTCATCATTTTGAATGCGTACAAAAAAGTGACTAAATAGCTTATAGGATTGATTGTATCTCATGTGGAGTCTGCTCATACAACACATGTCAGTTTTATAGTAACCAGAACACAACATAACACTCACTAGGGCTCTAAGTATTGTAGACCGCCTCTGTGGTCTAGTGGTAGAGTGTCTGCCCGGAGAGCAGAAGGTCCGGGGTTTGATACCCGGCCGCATCATACCAAAAGACGTTAAAAGATGGTACTTGTTGTTACCCTGTCGGGCACTCAGCATTAAGGGTCTAAAACAAAGACTGGTTGGCTCAGAGTCAGTATACTGTGTCTGAGTGGGGTATTCATGTTTAACTGTGGCATGGTATCTCAGTGGGCTAGCACTATAGTATAAATCAGCATCAGTCCTGACTAGTACAAGCAGCCACACACACACACACGTGCATGCAAGTCACTATTAAGTGCAATAATCTTGGACGCGACGTTAAACCCCATTTCACCTCACCTCACCTCACCTCACCTCACCTCACCTCACCTCACCTCACCTCTTACTATTGTATGTAACACTTTGTCAAGTGGTTATCATCCAAGGTAGTGATTACAAGGTTTCAGAGGTAAATGCCTTGTTCATATGCAGCTCATTGTAGACCAGTTATTCATGTAAAATTACTAAATTTTGGGAGAAAAGAACTAGTCCCTGTAGAGTCTCTCTAGTTTCAGACAAATAGAATATGTCCATGCATGTCTAACCCTGAGGGGCCTGATACAACACATTTTGTGGATTTGAGTCATTTAATAAGATGGTGGCTTGACACCACTTCTATATAACATCAGAAAGTAGAATTATCATGCTTGTAGTTATGTGTATGGTGTTGTGTTGTGTTGGTACATGACCTATAGATGCAATACTTATACCAGGATGACCCAAGCATAAGATAAATAAGAGATCTCTGAAGGTAATCTTTGTGATTTGAGTCACAGGATTGGCAAATAAGATAGTATCATAAAATGGTTCAGATTTGAAACATCAGATTGACCAAATGAAATAATCTTTGAAGCCAGTTTCTGTGTATATTTAACATCAAAGAAACCTTCCGATAAAAGTCAGACATCAGAAAAATAGACAAAATCATGTGGGTAAATTTTAGGGTTGGCATATTGGCACATATTTCATATAGCTATGTATCGCATACGGAGAGCTGTATTGCAATACATATTGCAATGTGTTTTGGGTCCCAAATAAAATATATTAGTGTTGTTCAAACATTAGTTACATAGTCATTGAACTATCATTACTATTAATCTGACCAGTGGGAATTAGCAGGGAGTTAATGTGTTATCTAGGAGACAGATAGTGGAGGTGAGACAGTTGGTGATCTGGGAGACGAATAACACTACGTTTCATCAATCTCTGTCAAAATCAGAAGTAAACACATTTTAGCGATTGGAATACATTAATCATTTATCATAACCTTAATTATTAGGGTTAAACTTTTATGTTATAGTCACATAATTCTGTCACACGCAGCTATCAGCTTGTTGTAGTGTCTGAGAAACAAAAGCAGACAAAGGTCCAAATTTCTTGAATTTTAAATCCAAAACTATGTAACTGTTGGTCAGAAGGTGGCTGCATATAATGAAGAGGCTGGGAAAGCCACTGATACCGTTGGGTCTATTCAAGAATCGGAGAATATTGGCCACACTACTGCAGACACTGCAGTATAGACCAAACTTTCGATGGAAAATGTTTAAAAAAGTATCCCTGGGTTGTCTAAGATGAAACGAAAAACATTATTACTTAACTATCTTTGAACAGTGAATAAATGTAATATGAAAAGTGAATACTGGAACATAAAGTGACACTGACAAGTTGAATTCTTGAGATACATTTCACGTTTTATGTCAATTTCAAAAATATTTGTGTTCCCTGGTTTCATTTCAAAAATATTTGTGTTCCCTGGTTTCATCAAATGTCCCTAATTCTCAAATAGGTAGGGGTCATTGGGCCCCACTTTTCCAGTTTATATAATCCTTCGAATATATTTGACATTTGATGACAATGCTGCACAAATGTAGATTAAGCCCTGATGGAAATATGTTCAGCATATTCAGCATGTATGCCAAAAGGATAATTCAGTGACGGTACCATGGTAGAAAGCATGTGTATATCTCTTACTTTGCTATCACTGATTGGCATCTTCCGATGAATAAATTATTCACACCCCAACAGTTTTTGTGTGGTCATCTATTAAGCTATGCATAGTTTGATCTGTGTGGCCACAATAGCAGCCCAACAACCAAGTATAGAAGAGCACTGTGCCAGGTCACAGTCAAATTCTATTTCTATTGTTAACTACATTCATCATCTATAATTCACGGACACTTAATTATTAATTTGCAGACGCCATTCTTCTCCATTCTTAGTTGGGTAATTTGAAGTCATTGATGTTGAAAGACCTCTCTTCAGGTAACAGCAGGTCGTGTTAAAGTACATGTCTCAAATAGGAAGTTGAAGCAGGTTTTGTCATTATAGCTGAGGTCAAGATACAGCTGAATGACTGCCTAATTGGATTTGAAACTGGTGCATATAGTTTATGGCCCACCAAAGAGGCAGGTGGTGATTTTCTGTAAGAAACACTGTATTGCCTTCCTTCTGCATTTTCTTGAATTGATGGGTATTTTAGGTGCAGTAATTTCTCAGAGGCTGTCATGTGTGCATAATGACAAACAGTTATTCTTGTGTATGGATTTTTGCTTCAGTGCTGAGGATTTATGTAGTCCTTCATTGTCAAAAAGCAACAAATGACAGTGAAACAAGTTTGTAGGTGTGTTAAATAAGTGTTCTCCTTATGTGTATTGTGCTGGAATAGATTTGTCTAATTTTCCTCTAGGGGCGGTCGGGTAGCCTAGTGGTTAAAGCGTTCGCTCGTCACGCCGAAGACCCGGGTTCGATTCCCGACATGGGTACAATGCGTGAAGCCCATTTCTGGTGACCCCCGCCATGATATTGCTGGAATACTGCTAAAAGCGGCGTAAAACCATACTCACTCACTAATTTTCCTCACCTAATGCTCATACTCAATGTCAGAAAAAAGTTATGGAGATCAGTTTTGGATTATGGAAAGGTCAGTATAAACATCAATGTGGCAATCTATTATTATGCATGGTATTTGTTATCATAAGGAAAGTAATTATCAATATTCAAGCATTTGATCATCATACTGATGACCAAGATAATGGTGCTGCACATGGGTACTGTGTGTCAAACCAATATGTACCCCTGCGGGGAAATTGCAAAAGAAGGTGGACAAACATACTCAGTTATCCATACAATGCATAAAGTAAGCACATTTGGCTAAAACCTCTATGTAACAAATGTTATATTTGGGATAACACTTTCTTTGTAAAGTACAGATTCTCATACTTTTTTGGGTTGAGTCCCGTCCGTGATTCGAACCCACACTGTTTTCACTGTGTGTTCATAAAACCTCCATGTCTGTTTAATAAGAAAGAATTAATTGAATAATCCATTTTGAAGTTGACCTAAATGACCTTTGATGGCTATATTGACACACTACTCACTATGTTACTGACAGGAAGAGAACATTGCCAGCAGCTACAACAAGGTCATCTTCATTTATCTAGTGTATTATATGATGTCCCTTCTGATACAATGTATACCCTGGTAGTATTCCCAACAATAGCTTCATTTTGAGGCCTAAGAATATCAAGTGATGGGTATTGGCCTGACTTTCGTATTGCAATATATTGCAATAATGATTGGATGTTGCTATGGTTACAACACATGTGTAATAGACTCTATATATACATGAAATTAGTTTTGCTTTTTCGATAACAGGAATCAGTTGCTAATTTCTAAATTTCTTAATTTCAATTCACCTTTAAGATGAAAATATGCATGATTTTGAAAAACACAATATACCATGGTATACCAGTATTATATTCTAAATGTATTGTAATATGTATTCACTAGTATTTCATCTTGACGTAGATCGGTAATACCGCCATCTTCCCGAGGCATGTTCAGTTCCACCCTTGCTGAACTAGGCTGGAATTCCGGAGTTATATTTGGGCTAGACTAACGAGTCTAACTTGTCCAATCAAAATCGTGTAACGAACTACAAAGATTGATCAGATCATCAGGATTGGGTGCTGCCTTTTGTTTGAAGCAATTGCAAGCAATAAAAGAGGTGGAATCTGATTGGTCAACAGGGGGGACATAGAAAGGACATAACTCAAAATAGACACTATTGGTGCTAGGGGTGAGCCTGGAAATTCCAGCCTAGTTCAGTAAGGGTAGAAACTGGACTTTATAGTCAGTCAACTCCCTTGCCTCGGGATGATGTAATACCTCACACCTCTGAAAATCTCTGTCAAATTACACTCAAGAGGGAGAGGAATTTTGTGCTAAGTTAGTGATAAGACAGCTGATGATGTCACTTCCCAGGCAGAGCTTTGGTTTGCGAATTGTTCCATGGTGTTTACCATAAGAGTGTCATGAGAATGGATATAACATGACAATACACTGGATAAACGAGGATGTGCCAAGGTAGTGACGATCTCGAACTAAAAAATCTGAACTCCAAGTCTTGTACTCCAATTCTTGTATTTTCAGTCTCATTGTACTTGGTAACTGACCCATGAAGATCCAGGGTAGAATAGGTCTTCAGAAACCCATGCTTGCCGTAAAAGGCGACTATGCTTGTCGTTAGAGGCGACTAATGGGATCGGGTGGTCAGGATCACTGACTTGGTTGATGCATGTCATTGTATCCAAATTGCGTGGATCATTGCTCATGATGTCAATCACTGGATAGTCTGGTCCAGACTCGATTATTTACAGCCCGCCGTCATATAGCTGGAATATTGCTGAGTGCAGCATTAAACAACAAACAAACTTGGTAACTGTGAGTTGTTTTGCAATTTCACCACCTGGTTGCATTGAACTCACAGACATGATAAACTTGTGACTTCCTATGGCAGTATTAGCCTGGGCTTCAGATGGAAAGGTTTTGCTACTGATCATTGTGACTTGTGCTGTATTTGGGGTTAGGTGATAATGGCATGGGGTTAATATTTTAATTGTATCAAGATGTTTGTGTCTGTGTGTTTGGCAACCTCTGGTGTGTAGAAACAGGAGTACATGAAGCAGGTTTAATTACACACTGCACACAGATGTTGATCAGGCTGGACCAGATCAATGACCTGAAGACTGACCGACCTCATCCTGGATGCTGCTGCTGGGATTGCTATGCCTGCCCAAATATATCAGTCTTCATATGTGTTGTTTCAGACTTAATGTCTGTTTGAAAATGAAAAGATTCAGAGCTTGATTGATAAACTTAGCAGTCTTTTTCTTCTTCTAACATAATAACATTTAAAAAATACCAAATTTGAACTTGTACTCTCATAATATTGAAAATCTTGCTCTTCTTTCTTTTGGTCTTTGAGTGATATTTACAGCTATATCACAGAAATTTGTAAATTATTCCAGGTAATCTCATGATTAGTCAGATAATCCTAGTAATGCAAGATGTTATAAAAGTGAAGTGGTCAGCTTAATGGCATTGATTGTATCTGTACAAAAAACATGATAACCAAAAAATAACATAGTCCTACAACATGTACAACTATATGATGATTTTTTTTTAATTCTAGATTCAGTCATCAACATCTTTTTATTTACTGCTAGGAGATTCCGGGGCACAACAGCTGGTCCCCCAGTAGTCCCTGCTTGCCAAATAATGAGGATCAGATGGTTACAGAGTGGGACCTTGATGATTGTGTGGCATTGTACCCCAGTGGCCTAGATTGATACTCCTGGTATCTTACTCTGGTCGGCATTGTCCTGGCTTGATTGTACAGGCTGCCGTGATAAGGCATGAACATTTCTGACTTGGGCATAATATAAAATTCACTTTGCATTTTATTGCATATCATGATGAAGCTTCTCTTAGGTCAGTTGTCATCATAAACTGCTCTCAGTATGTAATCTATTTCATGCATTGCAACACTGAGAAGTGTCAATCTCAGCCAGTAATGAATAGTGATCCGTAGAATCGCGATTGCGTGATGCCATTCTGATGGTATGGTAATGGCAGCATTGATGACCACTCACTTCTGATTGCAGATCACAGATAGCTCATCACAGCGATGGTAGCTAATGTGATTAACACTACATCCAGATTTCTTCTGCCTCCCAGCATTGGATGTATGTAGGTTCCACTTACTTGGGCAGACATCTAAGCTGACAGTACTTTGCGTAATGATTGGGTGTTAGGTGATGTAATATCAAAATAGATGCTAGAGCTCGGATGTGTCCCTGTGACTTCACACATTGGGGACATGATAATCAGGTGCCATTGCGCCAATTATGAAGAAATCAATATTTGTTATCCATTTTCTGTGCAACATTGTGCATAATTATGAAATTGTGATAAGCTTGGTAGACAGGCATTAGCTGTCATTCAGAGATGTGGCTGGCTAGTTGACACGTTGGAAGCATGTGTTTCCACTGATGAGGATGTTCCCACTACTGTTGTATGATTGCACTGGCTAGTTTTCAAGAACACTTGTTATTCAGGGAAATGAGAAACTGTGGTGAGCTAAGATATTGTATTTAAATGAAATGTGCTTGATTTAGTGTTTCCTGTTACCCATTTACAACTGAGGTCTACATTATTAGAGTTCTGAATTATAGGATCCTTGAGATGTCTTGCTGTTGTATTTTCATGGAAAAAGAATCTCTTTGAATTGAGGATTATGACAATGACTCCTTGATTTTCACCCTTAATTTTAAACACTGATTAAAATACCCTGTGATTGATTGAGCAACTGACTAATGTGAAGGTTGCATGATGACATGCTGGCTTTTCATTTCTATTCATTTAAAAAACCCATGTCTTTTAATGCCTATTACGGTAGATCATGTATTACTTCTACAGGTTAGGCAGTGCATGCTTACCCTTTTTGCCATCACCTGGTGTCATCACTGTTTTTCAGTGATCTATTCATATGATATTCAGAGCTATTCTGCCTTTTACCCCAAATGGAATCTGTTTCTGTTGATAATCAAGGCTAATTCTCTGACATGGACATTGTATGTATATTGGTGAAATGTTAGGGTCACTGTTAGGGTCCTTTACTTATTAAAAAGGCTTGACAGTCTGTCACTGAGATCTGCATGCATGGTCACAGCTTTCATCTGACTGGATTTTGACTTTCATATAATGTTTGGAAGATGTGCACAGACGGTCAAGGTCACCCAGCCAAATCCTCAAAGTAAATCCTGAGAAAGTTCATTTTGATATACATGATTACAGCAGTGTTTTCAATCTGTGATGATCGATTATTTATCTTTTTATTAATATGTGTCATGCCCCACTCATGATTAGGGTCACGGTTACTGTCTGTTGGGGGAATAGCGGAAATATGATACAACCGACCTGTGAAATAGGCAGACTGTCTCTCTGTAAAGCTTCTGTTGATGGTGTTACAGGTAGCAGCAGTTTTGTGGAGGTCGAGGATGAGGGTGAATGTAATTCCCTCGGTGGCAGTGGTGGGAATCTAGCCACCGCCGCTGCTGCATCATCGGCGGTGCCGAGCGTTGACAGTGGAGGAAGAGCATCGGTGCTGGGGTCTTTCCTGCACAGGCTCAACAGACCAGCCATGTAAGTACCACCTGTAGTATCCATATTCAGTGTCTTGAAGGTGCAGCAGATTGTACCAAGGTACAAGGGACATCTATGTGGATAATTGTTGTGTCTGCTTCAGCAAATTGTACCAAGGTATCGGTTAATATGTGTGAATCAATGTCCTGCTTTTGCACATTGTACCAGGTGGAGGCAAGTTCTTGAGCTTTGTAACAGGGTACCAGGAAACATTTAGCTTTGTACCAGAGAAAGTAGTGTCCTATAGCTTCTGCGTCTTCATCTCAAATGGGAATGTCCCACAGGTGCACTTAGGCTTAGATGAAGGATCATGTGACTTGTCCAGGTGTCCAGATGTGATTGGAACTGTATGTGTTTTGCTGTGACATGTGACGGCTGGGATGTTGCAAGCATGAGCTGTTGATGTGCTTGTAGTGTTAGTCTGTATTTTAGTTATGATATATGGCACCAGGGATAAAGGAATGAAGGAAACAGGCTTTTTTTCCAAGTGTAAATTGTATATGTATACAGCTGAAAATACAGATGACACAACTGCTGATCTTGTCAAATTGCCATCACTTAGTCCAACAACTAGATTGCCCAATGTAATATTCTACAGCAATGGAGATCCATGTCAACTAAACTGTGTCCTTGCAGTAAGGTTGTATTATCATTAGGGAGGTGAACATGTCCTATATCATTTGGCTGCTCTTTATGTCTATGGAATACATTCGAAATGTTTATTGTATATAAACAAAATGCATACATTATGAATACATTAATCAAATTAAATTAAAGTACATGGCAATAAAAAGCTATTTGATTACCATGTTGAGAGACAATGCATGACATGATTCAGCCAATACCAGTGTTTTCTTAACTGAAATACTGTTAAAGCAGACAAAGCCCAACTCACCGAAACCTTGCCATCAGTGAAAGTGACACCAGTCAAGTGGGAAGGATGGAACTACCATTCTGTTCAAATATGTGAACCTTTCACCAACTGATTGCATTGATATTGCTTAAGTTCCTCTTTTTACGACAAACAATGGTGTTTATCCGTCAATCTCAGTTTTCAGACTAAGTAATTGCTCTCTATCATGATCAAATTTCAAAGACAGACATTTATCTTTCTCATGTTTTTCTGTTTGTACAAACCTCATCAATGACCACTGCCATGTGTAGTGTGCAAGGTGAGCTGCAGAGCCTTGACTCTTTATCATGTTCGTTTTAAATTCATCAACAGATTCAGCGAATCACGCGTTCTACAATAACATGACATTATGACCAGTGATCAAATAATATTTTTTTCAGTTTGAGAGTTTTCTCCACACGGACATACTCCAGCAGTACTGACTGTCTAGATGAATAACCACCCCATGCAAATGTGTTATTTGTTGCAGTTGTAAATGAGTGTTTGTTTTAGCATGTTTTGTGTCTGTGTCCATGTTCTGTAATGCAATATTGTGTCGCTCGAACATGTAATGATACTAATATTGTGGCAGTAGTGTAACATTGTATATTGTGCCATTGTTGGATAATAGCAACTCTTTTCTTTATGATTTTAGCTAATGATTGTTGATGTTTAGATGTTTAGTGAAGTTGTTGATGACATGTTTGCTGTGTTTTGCTAGTGGCAAGCATGGACCCTCGGTTTTTACGACGCGCGAGTTTACCAGCAAGGTATGTTAGCTAGGCTTCATGGAATGCAAGTCAGAACCACACTGCATACCCATGCATTGGTTTTCTATCCAGATTACTTATCACATTTTGTTTTGCACGATAAAATCACAAAAAGGGAATGAGCTTTAATAGTTTTAAAGTTACACATCACTTTCACCTTTTTCTCTTTGAAAATGTTATTTCTGCAAGTGTAGGATCTTTTAGGGAAACTGTTTTAGGTAGGTACCTGGGATGATCACAGAATTAAAAACTGTTATTATTTTTTCACACTAGTCCCTGAAAGCTATCTGCTACAGAGTGGTAAAAGTGGTAGTCCACAAGGAAGTGTCACTAGTCCTCTGTGAATTATACTTATCTCAGACTTGTAGTCTTGTGTCAATTTTGAATTCTGAATACGATTGGTACCTTATGTTAGAGTTCCCAAATAGTTTAGATGGAATTGGAATACAGAGTTAAAATAAGTTGGAATAAAAGTCAACTGGAACAATCCAAAGAGCAACCATAATACTGGCATTGAATAACCTGGGTGCTGTACCAGCAATCAATTTTATATGTACATGTAAATCTGACTTGATTATGCAAATCACCACCGCTGTAGGGCTTAGGTCACTAATTGGAACTGCGCACTGGACTTTAGTCATCCTGTTTTACCCTTTTGCACCTTAGGCATGTTTGTTGACATGTCAACAAGCCTAAAAGGCATGTATACTTGTTTCCTTGAAGTCCTATAAATTATTTATATGAACAATTGTGAACCGGCAACATAGTTTTACAACTATTACTTGACCTTTATACCATTGTGCAGTGGCCTTTGTCAGGGTGATATGGAAGTTTATAGACGTTTGTCATGTACAATATAGCAATACATCTGTCAAGCATGAGAAACTGAGTCATCTCCGGGGATATATTGTCAGCAGATTCAAGCAGAAACATTGACATCTGACGAAGCAGAAATAAACCACATCAAATATGCATGCCGATATCTTTAATGTCAAACTTATGTGAAATACATGAAGAACATGTACAAGATGATAAGGTGCTCTTTAGTCTTAAATATTTTCTGATAATCACGAACACTTTCTTGAAATTCAAGCATATATGGTGCATACAAATCTTTTATCTTCATTTCACTTCACATTTTGTCTACTGAATACTTTTGCTATGTATGCTGTTGCCAACTGAGACTTGTATAATTGCAAAAATAAGGCTTTATCAGAACCCGAAAGATAAGTTGTGATACGTCAGAGGTTGAGTACATGCCTTGTGCACATTGGATTCAGTGCAATGTTCCTGAACTTTGGTCAGAGCAAGCAAACAGCTCCCAAAGACCTGGTTTGTTCAGAATGAAGGAGAAAGATTATTTTTCATTATTCCGGCCTTGAGATGTGTTTGGAAAGGTTATGTATTCCTGAAGTTTATCTAGACATACCAGACCAAAATAAGCTGTGGATTTTGTAAACCCTCTCAAAAACCAAGCTAACCTAAAGGCAAGAAGAGTTCATTCATTGATTGCTTAGAAACCTTAGGAATGGTAGTCTGATCAATATTGAAAAACATCAGTGAGGCATGGGGGTAACTAGCATGCTTAGGATTGGTTGGAAGTTGACAACTGTTTTAGAAATTACCACCACGTGAATGAAATGTTGAGATTTAAATCTGACCACCTGAGAACATTTCATAAATAAGCCTATGTGTTTAGATTGTGAAGCCAACCCTAATTGCCACAACTGGATTGTTTATATGAAGATGGTTCAGAGATATAAACAGTATCTGAACAGACTTGTATTCCATGAAGCCCTTGCTGTCTTCTTTTTCAGTCAACTTGTTGTAGACTGTTAGCTCTAGCCAGATTTCTAACCCGATATATGTATCTTGTTGTGTGTCTGCTTGCTTACAGCACTACGCTATTTGTAATGATTAACAAGGGATAGGCTACCGTTGTCGCAGACTTGGAGCACTCATATAGCTGTTGTCGAGTTAGAACAAAATTTAATGAGATTGTAGTCAATAGAGGCCAGTCTAGAACATTGATCTTACTCACTGATGCCATGAACCCATCTCTTTTTCTGCCCTTTTTATATCTACATGATGCAGGCAACAAAGGTCGAATTTCAGTTTTCACACCAGCTCTATTTAAACCAGTGCAGTCACATATGGCCTTTGTACTTCACTTAACACCTCAGTAATGAAGGATTATTGCCAAACATGACAAGAACCCTTATGTAAACACAATGATGACATCATCCTAGGAAGGTAGTGAGCATTGTTTGTCTGAAGGAAGTTGACAGTGTGACACTAGAAACCATGCCTGTCGTGTGAGTACCACCGCTCATGGAGCTCTGTGTAGTTTTTATGTCTCATCAGAAAATGATTACTGCTGAGTACAGTGTTGAATCAGAAGTGGTTGAATCTGTTTCTGAATCTGAATATATTTGTCCAAATGTTTGTTAGTAGCATTCATATTTGTCATGCCGTGTCATGTTTCACTTCCTGACTAACATTTCCATGTTCACATTGATCGTTTCACGTTCATGTTGTCTTGCATGTCTCATCTTCATATCTCTCTAACATACTTGCCTTGCCTGTGCTCTCATGTCTCTCACACACTTGCCTGTCCTCTCATGTACTTGCCTGTCCTCTCATATCATCACTCATGTGCCTGTCCTCTCATATACTTGCCTGTCCTCTCATGTCGCTCACTCACGTGCCTGTCTTCTCATGTACTTGCCTGTCCTCTCATATCATCACTCATGTGCCTGTCCTCTCATATACTTGCCTGTCCTCTCATGTCGCTCACTCACTTGCCTGTCCTCTCATATACTTGCCTGTCCTCTCATATCATCACTCATGTGCCTGTCCTCTCATATACTTTCCTGTCCTCTCATATCATCACTCATGTGCCTGTCCTCTCATATACTTGCCTGTCCTCTCATGTCGCTCACTCACTTGCCTGTCCTCTCATATACTTGCCTGTCCTCTCATATCATCACTCATGTGCCTGTCCTCTCATGTACTTGCCTGTCCTCTCATGTCTCTCACACACTTGCCTGTCCTCTCATATACTTGCCTGTCCTCTCATGTCTCCCACACACTTGCCTGTCCTCTCATGTCGCTCACTCATGTGCCTGTCCTCTCATATACTTGCCTGTCCTCTCTAACACTAGCCTGTCCTCTCATGTCGCTCACTCATGTGCCTGTCCTCTCATATACTTGCCTGTCCTCTCATGTCGCTCACTCACGTGCCTGTCCTCTCATATACTTGCCTGTCCTCTCATGTCGCTCACTCACTTGCCTGTCCTCTCATATACTTGCCTGTCCTCTCATGTCGCTCACTCACG